TAAAAGTATTTTTCCTTTACATTAACTTAGTCAGCAATTGCATTGTTCCTTTTTCAACTTTAATTCTAATTTTATTTTAAAAGTTAGTTAGACTCAGAGCCCCGGATAGATCGGACATAGATTCCGAGACGCGTTAAAGTTCGGAAGTCAAGAATTTATGAAAGTTTGTGTGTGAACTTTATAATAAACTTTTAGGTTTATTTTGTGGTTTTTTTTAAAAAGACTAACGGGATCGGCCTCCTAACAGTTCGAAGACCAATTTAACTGCAAAATCTTCGTGTTGGTCTATTTAGTGTTACTGTCACGCCGAAATTCAGCGATAGTTTACATATATAATATACTAGAGACTTACCCTCGCTTTGCTCGGGTTCGTCCCTGTTTCCCATTCAAACTATCATTCCCATTTTCACCCCCTTAAAGGATGATTTTCGGTATAAAAAGTATTCCATATCCTTTCCAGGGTCTCATGCTATCTTCTTACCAAATTTCATCTAAATCGGTTCAGTAGATCCAGAGATTACCAACAACATCACAAACTCACAATTCACAAACTTTATCTCCTTATAATATTAGTATAGATAGATATTGAACAGAACAGTGATATAAGGTACTTTTATAATTGCGAGAAAATATTTTATTAAAACAGGAAATCACAATATAAACTCCTCGAAAGTAACAAGATACGCATTTTACTTCGAGACACTTGAGTGAAGTGAAGATGCTTCACCAATTAACAAAAAGGCTATACGAAATAACAATTATAATAATAATTATTATTATTTATTACACCTTATGCATATAAATTAGTGGAATATACTTAATGCATATTGTATATAAGTAATACGTACATCTAAATGTTGTACGAAATTATATCAGAATCCAAATTTATCAAAATGGTCACTTACTAAATTATACGCGAAAAGTTTACCAAACTTGTATAATTTTATCTAGAAACATAATTTTTGAACTATCCCAAAGGCCTCGGTTGAACTTCGAAACATACCAGCAAGGTCTAACCGTAAACTTAAAGTATCCAAAGTCGGTGTCTCGAAGCGATAAACAGCTTAGCCGGCAAAAAGGAATTTCAAGATTATACGGTGGTATTAGCTTGATTACGTATTTACTTAGATAGTATTTTCTTTGTTATTATAGAATTTACTTAACTAATTTATAAGTTTTTCAATTTATTTAAAAATATCTTGGAGTGCAGTGGAGTATGGCGTTTGATTGACACTAATGGCTAAGGCGGAGGTCGCGCTGTCGATTCTTACTTGAGGCATTTAAATACAATATTGTTAAGTTTTTTTTTTGCACTAAACATCTGTGTATGATGTTTCTCAGCTCCGAATTTGAACTAAGCACTTGACACGCTACAGGAACATTCTAGTATTCGAAAATGCGAATATTTTCTAGTAATCTTAATTCCTTTGTGGATAATATTTGGTTCTCTCTCACATATAACAATTTACGTTTAACTATTCTAGTCTGATGATGATCATCAGTATTATATGTTCACAATTAATTGTCTTAGGATACGCTCAGTATGTTGCATTCCCATATTCACCCTCTTCATGGATGATTTCCGGGATAAAAAGTATCCTATATCCTTCCCAAGATCTCAAACTATCTTCTTACCAAATTTCATCTAAATCGGTTCAGTAGATCCAGAGATTACCCCCTACAACGTCACAAACTCACAAGCTTTTCCTCTTTATAATATTAATATAGATAATAATAATAAGGAAAAACCAAAAAAAAAAAATATTTTTTGCATATTTTTAATAAATCTGAGAAAGTACATACAGTCAAGTAAATATTGAAAGCTATTATTTATACTGACAATGACACAAACTGCACAAATAACTAGCTCTTTAATCTAATACTTGTGGTAAGCGGTTAAATTTCCCCAGACACTGCGGAAGCATTGTACCGGGCAATACGAAATGAAATAGGTTTATAATATACTGCATATTTTGTTTGTCATTTCTAAACATTAAAAACTAAATAAAACCCGTGACTTTGTTCCCGTGGAATTAAAAAAATCATGTTAAATTATAGAGAGGAGGTTACATTTTCTACAATTTTTTTCTTTTTAAAATCTACTCTGTGTTTCTAGATTTTAATACAATGGTAAATCTTTCTTTTTTTTTTGCAATATGAGGTAATTTAGATTTTAAGACATTTTAAGCAAATAAATCAATAGTACCTACTTTAGCGACCGGCATTTTTTTTTCAGGAAAATATATAACAATTGCACATTTTCAGAGAAGAAAAAGCGTAACCTTATCTTAATACAAATTTCAATCCAAATCGATAGAGCCCTGTCCGAGATACACGAAATAAATTTATATATATATATATATATATATATATATATATATATATATATATATACAATAATTAATTGATTGCTCATTTCATATTATAAGATTTTAAAGTAGTTTCACTATGAATAGTGTATAACGGTTTTGTCAAATAGAATGTTTCTTAATAAATAAATTAACAAATATGTTGGGACATTAACACACAGCTCCATATAGTTCCGTGGTAAGCTACGAGGCTTGTGTTATGGATACCAGATAGTTGATACACTACACATATATAACATAAAATACATACATATTATAAATATGTCCATGACTGGAGTACAAACAATGCCCAGCGGGACTCGAACCCGCTGGCAGAGCAAGTAGGGTCACTACAAACTGAGTCAAACGTCGTCAATAACACCCGTTTTTAGATTATGAAGAGTTTCTTTTTTAATTATTTGCTGATATTTATATTTTAATCAGTCGAGTCATGCAAATATACAGTTCGAAACCCTCACACTATGCAATTCAAAGTTATAAGAGAGGTTAAGTAGTTGTGAACTAGCAATATACCTATAACCAAGGCCGCTATGAAAAGCGCAATCATAAACCTAGTTTTTACACATATTCGTAAGAGTACAATACAATATACTGTTTTTTATCAATATTATTATTCTATTTTGGAAGCAAATAGCGAAGCTAGATCTTTAAGGTAATTTTGTTTTTAATTTTTACCCGACTGAACAAAGGAGGGTTATGTATTTAACCTGTATGTATGTATGTACTTATGTCCTATGTTTCTTTGTGATTACTAAACGGCTTAACCGATTTTAATGTTACGTCGTTAGATAACGATAATAGATACTATTTATTTTCTTTCTTTTTTGTTTCTTCTTCAACTTGTTCCACTTTTTTTAATAGTTATATTTTCACAAGTTTATATTTATTTTGTAGGAAAATTCAGTTTTATTACAAACGCTATAAAATAAACAGGGTCATTTTGAATTTACTGAAAACCTTTTGGGAATATACTATTTACATCATAACAACAACATCTGTTTTTTTTTTATTTTCATACAAAAAAAATTATTTTCATACAAAAATAAAAATATTTTTATTGCACCTTCTAAACGATAAAGTTCTAGCACCTTTTTTTTTTTTTTTTGTGTCGGGAAATGCATTTACGCATACCACCTGATCCCCCAGGTTCGCCCTCGTTCAAACTAATAAAAAAAACATACTCTTTGACACACCGACAGCAGGACCACCTAACGGGTCAAATTCTGTTTTCAAACTATCCAGGAGCCCATTGAAATATACACACAAATTTCATCAAAATCGGTCCAGCCCATTAGGAGGTTTTTTTTTGTTTTTTTTTTTTTTTTTTTATGTCGGGAAATGCATTTACGCATACCACCTGATCCCCCAGGTGGTGATGTGGGGCTCACCGGCTAGAAGAGCCGGTACTACCCACTAAAACCCGACATTCCCCTCCCCTCCGCCTTAATGGGACGCCGCAGGATCGCTTGCGCATAACTACTACGGCGCCCCGGCGGCAGGTCTGCCTAAAAAGGCAAACCACCAAACCAATGGGGCTGCTCCACAGTCAACTCTGCTACGCCAGAGAGGTACCCGGAGCAGCCCCATTAAACCTAACCACCGCCCACCGAAGTGGGCCACCTCCAATCGGCTGCAGAGGACAGAGAGAGCGGCAACGAAACACCGACACTCCTCTTCCCCTGCAGCCCCACCGCGTCCGCCATCAAACGGTGGCGGCCCCGTCTAGGCCGCGGAAGGTAGGGAGAACGGCGCACCGAAATACCGGCACTCCTCTCCCGCCGCGGCCTACTCCTCCGCCGGATGCGGGCCTGCGACCACAGTCCCGCAACCGGCACCCATCATCCGGTTGTGGGACCAAGCGGTCCCACCACCGGTGGCCGCAACGTCTTCGGCTCGAGGCCTAGACGAGCGGCCCCACCCAAGCCATTTGGTCCGCGCCGGATTTCTCCGGTACCACCCGCCGCCCTAAGCGGGTGGCATTCCCCTATCCGCCACCTGGGGACGCGCCCGGTAGGAGTTGGCTTCTCCCCCGGGAAAGTTCTAGCACCTGGCCAAGTTTATATGAGTAAGGGCCACTTCCTACACCCCTCCACCCCTTCTCCTCCACCGGTCACGCGCTTTCTTTTGCTAATTGCGGGACTATTACCGTTTAGAAGGAGCAATTAAAATACTTCTATTATTTAAAATACTTTTTTTTCTTACAGATGTTGTCGTTATGATGTAAACAGTATATTCCCAAAAGGTTTTCATTAAATTAAAAATTACCCTGTATAGCTTATCTTAATGCCATAAAAACTTTTTATATAAAAATATCTTTGGATTTTTCCGGGATATATTTCAACTCTTTGTTCCCGATGTTTTGTATAGTACAGCAATCATGGTCACGGGACGGACTGGCCCTTAAAAATATAACAGAATTTACATAACAGAAAGCTGTACCCTATTTGTACCGAGATTTAAAAAGGGAAAGTACTCATATTGTATATGTTACCAATTATTTTAATATATTGCTAATCGATTTTCATAATGTTAGAAGCAACAAAAAATTGTCAAAAAATTATATTCAATTAAAGTAAATATTATATTAAAAACATGGTTGTCAGGAAAAAAAAATATACAGACTTTATTTTAAAAAGGTATACACTTGCCTTGATGCTTGACAATAACTTTGCTAGATTTATTCTCACACTCCAACTGGCATAGATTGTAATACGATTTGTCATCTGTTCCGCATACCGGATCATATATCTTCGAACACATACAATTTTTTGACACCTCGGTTGTAGTTAGAAAATCCCTGGAATTCAATTTCAATGATATATTATAATATTAATGTTAACGCTATTATTAAATTTTGAAATTAAAACAGGATAATATCTGCAAATACTGAACTTATTAAATAACTAGCATTGCCCGCGGCCACGCCCGCGTTCAGATGATCAAAAACCAAACTTCTTAGGTTTTACATATTACTATACTTATACATTGCAGTTTTTGTATTTTTTCTCAAAAATTAAATATTTTTCCGCGGTAAAAAGTATCCTATATGTTAACCCGAATAACCAGCTATGACCATACCAAATTTCATCAAAATCCCAGTGGTTTTTCTGTGATGCGGTAACAGACAGACAGACAGGCACACAGACAGACAGACACACAGACAGACAGACAGACAGACAGACAAAATTTCTAAAAACTATAGATTCAGCCTGTATATCGATAATGATGTTTATTTCAATAAGATTTTCCAAAAAATATCGAATGTACAGATTCGGCTAAGTTACAATTTTATTATATGTATAGATAAAAAAAGCTTAAAAATATCTAAATTAATATCGAGTGACAGGTAAATTTTAACTGGTGTACTGTACCACGCAAGTGGATCAAGTCTTCGGATTCTACTGTATTACCAAATTCGACCTAATCTAAGAATATCATATCGATTTGTTACTAACCCGTCAGTATTACGCGTTTTATGCTGTTTTTCATCATCTTGATTTCTAACTGATATCAATGGCACGGTCAGTTGCTTTTTAACAGAACCTGTATGCACGTGTGTTGAGAAGCTCAGGAAACCTATAAAATATATTTAAATCGGTAAAAAAATGATTAAGGCATAATAATTTTTCTGTATAATTTATAGATTTATTTGTTATTAATTACGTACACTCATGATTGTTGTATCTCCGAGTGCGTTTCCCTTCTTCGTAATGTGCCTGACAGTGCCTATGTGTTACACCAGATTATCTACTGTAGTGTACTAAATTTCATCAAAATCTGCCCCGCCTTTTCATCGTGAAACAGCAACAAATATACATACACAAGAAATTGTCGCATTTCCACTAGTAGGCAGTTCAATTGATTTATTAAAAATACCTAACACGACTATCCATCGGAGAAAGCTCTGCTAAAATTCATTAGTTAATTCGTCTTACTATCCTTGATCCCACGGAAATTCTTCAGAAATTTGGGGCTACATTTTAGGATAAAAGTTATCTACGAGTATATCTATCTCGTTTTATCGTCTATCCGCTAACGAAAATCCCATCAAATTCGGATAAGCCGTTGAATCAGTTGAAACAGATAAAACACAATATGAGCTAGCTGAGCTATTATGAAATTACAAACATATACGTTTATTATATTTATAATCAATATAGATTAAATAAAACTTACAATAAAATAAGTAAACTATGAAACAATTCATTACGATGGTAAAATGGGAATTTTGAACGTATAATATAGTATGATAGTGTTTCTTATTACTTTTCAATAGTTACGAGTACAAGATAAGCGAAGCTAATTAACTTTTAATTACACTTAATCTACGCTAATTTATAGTTGCCTTTGAGATTCTTAAAATTGTTTTTATTACTATTTTAATTAAGCACTTTCTTAAGAATATTTAGTTTGCAAAATTATGCTTTTTAATCACATATGGTGAAGGTATCGTATCTATACAGATAAATAAAATTAAAGTGTTTGTTTGTAATGTCAAAATAACAGCTTTTTACACAGAACGGCAGAACGGATCCAGATGAAATTTGGCACAGACATAGATTATAATTTTATCCCGGAAACATATACGGTTCCAGAGGGATAGGTTTTAGAATAAATCCATCCTATATCAAGAGTGGCTCCATCTACATTTAAAAAGTCTAATGTCTAAAAGTTGGTTTGGTATTGTCTTCGTTTTTCTTTTTGTTCAAAAATAATTAGTACTCTCACTTAAAACTTATTTAATAGAATATTTTCAATGACGAAAACACGACACCTGCATTTGAACATTTCCTAACCTTTTACTCCATTTTGTAATTCAACTGAGATTCATTGTAACGAAGATGAATCGATCGAAATTTACATCAAATAATTTCAAAAGAACGTTAAGAGTGAAAAGCACTGAGTCACAGCTCAGTTAATATTTCAATATAATGAAAAGGTATAACCATCCTAATTTACATTTGACACTTGAAAACATTGTTACCCGTTTCATTCCTAAGTGCCTGTAACGACCGCAATAATTTTGACTATCTCAATTATTTGCCAAAATTGGTTCGTGACTGCTTTCAAATTAAATTTGAATCGAGTACATTAATACTATAAAGTGAAGACTTTCGTGTGTGTGGTCTGAGTAGGGTGATAGTTATCTGTAAATGTTACTTATATTTCTGCTTTTAACTGGCTTGTATTATTTTCTAGTAATCTTTATATTCAGCCTTGTACTGCTTGGCATGAGCTTCCCTTTTCTACAAGGGGCATCTGGCCATAATCCACCATGCTGCCAAGTCGGGTCGGCGGACTTCACATGTCTTTCGAAAATTTCCCCGCAAGAACCTAGCGTTCTCTCAGTACGTTTCCTCGCGATGTTTTCCTTCACCGTAGAACAAGTGGTAATCATGTTGGAAATAATTAACATATTAAAATATCAGAGGTTCGAAACCCGGGATTTGAACCCGCTTCACTCGGGTTCCCAAGCGAGGGCGTTACCACTGGGCTACTACTGCCTACGAGTGCTTAGTGGCTAGCATTTTTGATTGTAGATCCGGAGGTCCTCATGTTGAGACACCAGGGTAGATTTATTGTGTCATAGATTGCCGCCTCATTGTTGTTGAAAAGAATAGAGATAGCACATGTTTTTGTACACATATATACTTGTACTAATAATTTTATTTTTTCTAAATATATATATATATATATATATATATATATATACCTATATAATTATCTTTTATTAAATCTTTTGTAACATTATTTTCAATGAGTTTGATACGAAGATAGAAATCTAACGCCAGCGAACGGAGATACCGCATAACGATTTTATCAAGTTATAAGTATTCTATTAAACTTCTTAGTTATCGAATATGCGGTTTTAAATTACTTTGAAGTAGCTACTTTATTTACATATGACTGGAATTTGAAAGATAAGGTAAATTGAACCTTTGAAGATACCTATTCTGAAATTATATAGTAATTGTTATAGTAAAGTATAGGTAAGTATTTTTGTTCTAAGTCCATAATACGTAAAGAAATGCCCTACATTTTATACTGAAGTATAAAAAACTAAATTGGTCACGATACGTAGTAAGGTTTTAAGCATACATCTTTTAACTAACCTTTTTGTTCTGTAAAAATCAGCAATTTTAAATAAAACTATTTTTTCAGATTTTTACGCGAATTTTGATTTTTGGTTCTCGACGTTTCGAATGGTTTACACTTTACAGCAAGATCTTGTTCTTATTGTCTTGTTGATCTAGCTTCTTTTGAAGTCGGTTAACAACCATCACATACATATTGTTAGAAAAATCTATTTTCCATATATCTTTGTTAGGAAACTACAAAGACAAACTAATTTTAATATCACATATATATTGTATTAAATTGCAAAACTTTCTATATTAGTATGGAGAGCTTTAATATTTCCTTATCGTAAATGTTGTTTCATGAAGCAAGTGCTTAAGGAAGCTTAAGTGCTAATATTAAATCTATAATTAAAATTTAAAATTATATAAAATTTAATAGATTAAGGAATATATTTATTACTATTGACTTATGCTCACTACGTTTAACAGTATCCTATGTAATAAATAAATATGTTGGAACATTACCACACACCACCATCAAGTTCCATGGTAAGCTACGAGGCTTGTGTTATGGATACGCGATAGTTGATACACTAAACATATATAACTTTAAACACATACGTTTTATAAATATAAACAACCATGACTGGAGTACAAACATTCGTGCTCATCACAAAAATGAATGCCCCCAGCGGGATTCGAACCAGCGACTGCTGGCACAGCAAGTACTGCACAGCACAGGGTCACAACAAACTGAGCCAAAAGTGTCGTTGAATCGTGTGATACTATAGATCATATCTGGGTACTTAAATTTCATCCAAATTTGTTCAGCCGTTTCAGCGTGAAGGATACTGGATATGTCTGTGTGTTTCACTGTGTGTTACATATTATACTAACTTTCACATTTATAATAACAACCCATGCTTATGGAATATGGACTTTGATACCTACTTAACTTTCATTTACCGCTCGTGACATAACATTCAATAGAAATACAAATGTTTATCTCTGTCTAAAGTTAAAAAAACACATTTTTATCTATGTACATATAGACATAATAAGTAAATAGTATATTATATTTTTGTAATGTTATTAATATTTTAGTATCTGTATATCCTTAGAACTAGCGACTCACCCTCGCTTTGCTCTGCTTCGTCCCTAGTTACGTTTTAACGGTTAGTATGGAATAAATAGACTATAAATATATATATAATAAATGATATATAGCCTATAGCCTTCCTCTATAAACGAGCTATCTAAGTTAAAAATATTTTTTTCTTTGAATTAGTAGTTCCTGAGATTACCACGTTCAAACAAACAAACTGCCTCTACATAATATTAGTATAGATTCATATCATTCTTTCTTTGATAGTATGGAATTCGTTCATGAATTCGAATGTCAAAGCTTGTACTATGCTCTGGTATTTTATCATTTCTATTCACCTTAATAGAAAGAATCTGCTGATGCACATAAGTAAACAGAACAATAAAACATTTTATTTCTATAAAAAATGATAAATATAATAATAATTCAGTTTAGTAAATCTAACGAAAATCAATAGGTACGTTATGGGTTCGCTAACATCGATATACTGTCGATAATTTATTTGGAGAAGATTGTATTGTTTAAATTATTTTTTTAGAATGTTAATTTTATCATAACATAATTCAACTAAAACTAACATAAAAATATTGTTAATTATTAAAAAATAGTTGGAACTTGTGTCACTAATAGCTTAATACTGTGAAATGGGACGAAAAATGTTTGTATGAAAAAAATATATGATTATATGTAACTTAAAATATAGAAGAAAATATTAAATTAAAGTACTTAACAGGTTTTAATGTTCGAAAATCATTCCCCATGCGAGCGGAGACGCGGGCAAAAACTAGTTTACTATAAAATACTTTTTAAAGGCAAACACTTCGTCTTAACGAAATGATCAAGTGCGAACTAAAAGTATTGGAAGTTGGAAATATATATCAAATCTACAACTTTATTTCTATGCAGCCTTTGAATGAAGCGTCGTACATTTATCTCAATCCATTGAGTTGGGTACATCCTGAAGCTTGATCGATCGAATGAGAGAGCGATTTATAATAAAACGGAACAGGCGTTTGGTAACTATGTGACATACAGACTAACAGATATATAGACGAATATGGGGGCTTAGACAAGATGTCTTTCTACAGTCGTTGAAGTATAAAACTCTTAAGTAAATACATTATTATATTAAACTAGCATTGCCCGCGGCTCCGCCCGCGTTCAGATGACTAAAAACCAAATTCTTAAGTTTTACATAGTAGTATCTTATATTGCAGTTTTGTATTTTTTCTTAGAATTGAGATATTTTCCCGCGGTAAAAAGTATCCTATAGGTTGACCCGGATAACCAGCTATCACCATAGCAAATTTCATCAAAATCCCTCCAGTGGTTTTCCTGTGATGCTGTAATAGACAGGCAGAGAGACAGACAGACAAAAATTCTAAAAACTATAGATTCGGCCTCTATATCGATGATGTTTATTTTAATAAGATTTTCCAAAAAATATTTAATGTACAGACTCGATCGAGTTATAGTTTTATTATATGTACATATAGAAGTTTGATATAACGATTAACTTGTTATTATTGATAGAATAGCAACTTATCAAGTCTCATTGGTCTTGATAATAACACTTTACACCACTCGTTGCTTATATAGAAATAGTGACTTACTTGTAATAATAAGACACATGCTTAGATAATTCCATGTGCTTAGGAAATAGTTGAAAATAGAATATATGCAACTTTTATTATAACATTTGGTTGAA